TGGCAGTGGTTTTACCAAATGTTCGGCAAACCCTCTTTATAAGAGAAAGGACACTTGACAGTACAATTTTGCTGGCGTTTAGGCATGTTACATGTTAATGGGAATAGCCCCCCGTTGCGCCTGAAGTCGTTGAAGTACGTCGCTCAAAAACGTCTTTGCTTAAGTTCCCCAATAGCTGACCGAAGAAGTGAACGGTGATGTGAGACACGTAAGTTTGAAACAAAGGAAAATAAGAAACGAAAAAATTAAGTCATAACATGAAATTTTCATTGCAGTCTTCGCAAGATGGAAACGAAGCAGGTGTAAATGATACCTTCTTGAGAGAAGTACTTGGAAACTTGAGTAAAATTAATGAGACTACAACTGTACTATTATCCCCTGGTGGCATTCTGGATATTTTAAATGTTCTTGAGAAAATTGTCAACGAAGATTTCCTGGGAAATACAACTCAGCATGTCAGAGATCAGTTTGCAAAGGTATAAACAACTCCTAGGTGTTCCTAATCTAACGCTGTCACATTTTATTGGTGATTGACCAGATGAGTTTGCCTTGCTGTTAACGTTGCCAATTATCGTTATTTGATATTTCCATTATTTAATTTACGCAGAATTTTTTGCACGTAACAAGTGCATTGTTAAACGACTCCAACATTTCAGCTTGGAAAAGTTCACAGTTGGTGAGTTATGATTGAAATTCAACCGCATTGAGATATGCCTGATTATAAGTTAGCCGGAATATCTTGAGATGCAGTTTTTAAATTTCCAATGCTCAAGTAAGCCCTTAGTAACAGAACTCAGTCATTTTTTTTACTTGTCAGTTAGTTTAGGGTACTGGCACGGCGATAAAGGGGTCCGGAATTAATATCGCAAGCACTTTCTCAATTCTGAATATAGAATAATTAGCAATTATTCGATGAGGCTGACTATGATCTGATGAATTATGTAGATCATATGATAGCCGACAACAGTAACTGTTTTATTATTCATTTAAAATAGTTCATACTTAAAAAACAAACTAAAACACACTTACCTCTAACTATGTAAAGATTTTTTCAGTTCCTCGGCAAATTCAGGATATGAAGGGATTTTTTAGGGTGCAGTTCGGCTATTTCTTCTTCGAAAAATGGTGACATTTTCCGCCAATTTTTCCAGTTCCACCAGTGAACTGAGCTAAGACAACCTCGTTCCCAGGACCTCGCGGTTGCGTTGCCCTTTCCAAGCGATAGTCTGCACTGTTGACGTCATTTTCCATATTTGGTCAACACTAGTTTGTTATGAAGATTGACCGGGGATTTGAGCCAATCAGAAAAGAATGTATATTGTGAATGAATTATGTAACAACAATTGTCGTTGCACCATTTTGTAGAAACTAAAAACATATTCAGTAAAAGCTACATGTTCCATAATATTTTGATTTGAATTACCACGCTGTTGTTGCTGTAGTTTGACACTTTGAGATGGTTTGATGAATTACTCTGTATATATTTTCTTTATGGTGTGTGATTTTCAGAATTCATCAACTTTAAGTCGGCTCTTAAAAACTGTAGAAGATTTTGGTGTGGCATTTGTGAAGTATCTGGAGTGCGACAACCAAACAGCAAATGAAAAAACATTTTCCTTCCTTAATATTAGTAAGTAACCTTTCTTACTTACCTCTTTTTCATTATCTTGTGTCCAACACACAATGGTTAATCGATAAATGTGTGCAAAAAATCATATTATACCTGATTTTTTGTATTTATGTATCTGTCCTAATACAGTCAAACAGTTTGCTGTGTCCCTAGGGAAAGAAAACCCTTACATTTTCTCCAAATTCAACCCGCTTAATACGGACACTTTCTATGGTCCCCTCAGTGGCCGTATTGACGGGGTTTGACTGTAATCATAATAAGGGATGTTTTTTATTTGCAGAGCTTACAGCGAAGTCATGCATAAGAAGGACAGGATTTCCGTTGAAGTTATTTCCAAGCGACGGTTGTAGCACAGAACAAAACGTATCAGAATACTGTAACACATGGAGTGACGTAATGGAAAATGCTATACTTCCCAAACCAATGTCGAAAGGTACTTGGTTATTTTCATTGTATTTATTCTATTTGATTGTTGTGCTGTCTAGGTTTATTTCTGGTTTGTAAAAGTGACGGAAACCATAAAGATACCATTTCTTATTTTAACAATGTAGTTGTCTGCTGTTTTCATGAATCGCTGAACCAAAAAGGCACTCTGGATTTTTTTTTATCCAAGGAGTGATCAACATCAATTTTCTCCTAACTATGACAATACATAATTAAGAAAAAAAGGTTATGAATATTAATAAAGTGAAAACCTAAGGGAAACAAAGGTAAAGGTAACAGACCTTAAGTAAACGCGGTACAAAATGACAACCGTAACAAAAGACGGTAAAGCCCATTTATAATACCGCACATGGATATTTGTTTTAAAAACATACGGGATTTTCTTGACTGTGATTTTTGTTCTTTTGTGTGTATAGAGCATCAACAATATCAAGTATCATTTATTTCTTATAAAACGGTGCACAAATTATTTCCGGTTGACCCAACAAGAAGAGATGCTGATTGGCGGTAAGAATCATAATTAGCTTCAATTGTAACTGTGACTTGGGTGACTACCCAACTGATAAGCTGCAATGCTGACGAAACAAATGGACAAATAGGAGAATAGCAACTTCTTCAAGTAACTAAGATAACAATTAACGAAGTAATTACAGTATAAAATACAACTGTAGCCAAATGAATGGTTTGCTAATATAACCTCTGCAAAATACGAAATAAAGATAATTGACAGTTGATTAACTAGACAGCTGACGTCTGACTGATACACAAAACCGTTTTACAAGTTTTCTAAAGGAAATGGAGAGAAGAAGAAAAAATCTTCTTACCATCCGAACAATTTCAAACATCGTTTGTCGAGCAACAGATTTTAAACATCAGACCAATTTTTGTGTTTGTCATTGCATTAAAATAGTTTGAGATTATAACAGTTTCACTTTGCGTTGCCATCAAAAGTAAGACCTAATTTTTGTCATGTTGCACCTCCGCTTTAAATATTGCGTTTAAATTATCTTACTGAATCTGGGTTTCTGGCATTTCCAGCTTATTGGATAAGTCAGAAAGTCGGTATACCCCTTTATTTAATGAACAAAGTTTATTACTTGCAAATTGATTCTAATTTCTTGTCGGGGGTGCAATAAAATTGTTGTTGCTGTTGTTGTTGTTTACTGCACTGAATAAACTGAACTTGTTTTTCCCCCTTACAACTTAGATCCACCAAAGTAGACAGCCGCGTTATGTCTTTGACTATAAGACCAGAGGGAGTAGTTGACAATGGAAATCCCGTAGTTGTAACCCTGCGTCCATTATCACATGTAAGTTACTAGCAATCATCATACAGGAAAACCTCTACGCGATCTGACAAAACAGTCGAATCACACAGTCGGTTGTGGACATGCAATAACGACAATGCGTCTTCAAGGAACAATACCACGGTTTTTGCATTTTGAGGTTTGTCGTTTGTTTTCATGTAAATCTCCGACATACTAAACCATCGTTAATCTTTAATTATCAATTTATTATTACCTTTGTCATACATTTCTTTAGTGCGAGACTATTAGCTTGGGTTTCCTTCGATATAAAGATTCATAGTTTTGTAGGCTGCAAAATAATGTCATATCGTCACACAGAACTCCTTTATACATACACGTCCACAGTATCTAACCTTTTCAGTCATTTTGTTTGCTTTAATAATTTCTTTTTATTTCAGAATTCAGATAATGAGAAAGATTATTACTGTGGATTCTGGAACTTTAGTGCTTCGTAAGTAACAAAATCTACGCAAAATTATACAAGTGTGGTATTAAAGATAAGAAGCATAACTAATCAAAATCGTTACGATTATTCCAAGAAAGAATAAAAAAGAGAAAATATTTTTGAAGTCGTTTAAATACACTCGCATGCAGTTCGCAGTGCAGTGCTTCGCGTCGATTTCGAAGTGCAGTTTGGATGCAACTTGTGTCCGGTATTCTAACACACATGCACACCTCTGTCTTAAGTTTTTATGTTGATTCCTGCTTGTTTAGAAAGCTATACTACTGACCGATGACACAACCAAAACAGGCTTAGTATTAGAAAGTCAAATGCCAGCAGTGCGGGCTAATGCTACTTTCAAATGTATTCATTTCATGGCGAAAAAATGGATTTGCACAAATTTGCTCCATGGCTAATGCCACATTTGCCTAGTTATTTACACCCCCTGTTTTTTGGTATGCAAATGTGGCACTTACCATCTTTGTCATATGTTTACTCCTCAGTATTTACGTATTTGCGACATATTTGCAAGGAGCAAATTTATGCAAATCCTTTTTTTCGTCCAGTGAATTAATTAATTTGTTTGTTCAATTAATATTGGCTTGTTTGCTCTTAAACTGTATTTGTGTCATCGACCTTAGGGGAACAGTTAATGGAGCCTGGTCAACTGACGGATGCACTTTGCTATTGATTAACTCGTCACGAGTCACCTGTCATTGTAATCATCTCACAAACTTTGCTCTTCTTCTCAGAGTAGATTCCGACTCTGTTGTGGTAAGTGAAGCCTATTAATGCACTTAAACTGAGTAATAATCACTCACTCTGACTCACTCAT